GAAATAGATGGAATGATTAGTGTGCATGTGCAGACATTTCTTATACCTTTAACATTTTTAATCAAATTTCTCTGATAAGCATTTTATCTCCTAAAAAGTAATTTTAGGGTAATTATTTGTGTATATCTACGTGACCAAATGGTAATTATTGACTTGGTATGGATTTGCTGGGAATAGTTAAAAATTGAATACTAAGCCAGTTTTAATGAAAATTTGTCCTTTAAATAGTTTATGGTGGTGGGTAGTCATCTGGACAGATAACTGCTATACATCCTTGTCCTGCCTACTCACATCCCCTCTTTCATCTTACTTTAAAAATCTTAGTTATAAGAAACAGTTTCTGTGTAGGTGGGGACAGTTGAATACTCAAAAAATTGAGGTGAAAACTTTGTTCACTAAGTAGTATAGAAATGGCTTGTATAAGTTTGGTTAGCTGGGTATTTTTTCTAGTTTGGATAGATTTTTTTTACCATCTTAATTTCCTAATTGTAGGTTGGGATTCAAGTGAATCAGTTGGTTCCAACTAATTCAAATACTTCCACATGTCCTACTCGCCCATCACTTCAGTCAAGCCATTTTAGTGCTGGATCACACTCTGTCCTTGATCTCTTACAAGTTCAAAAAGCTAGGAAATCCACAGAAGAGGAGCACAAGGAAGGTTAGTTTTCTTGAATATGGTTCTCATTTTGGTGCTGATCACCTTAGGAAGGTAATTTTATTATTGTCTGGCTAACAAAAGTTGACATTGTGAATCAAAGTCTTACTTGCTAAGGATTCCATCCCCTTTTATTCTAGCCAAGATCTGAAGACTGTTCTTTTGTTTTCTATATTTTCAGTATTTCTGGCAGCTATGGACCTGGAAGTATCATCTGCTGCTAGAACTTGCACTTTCTTACCATCTTTTTCTACACACCTGACATCAAGGATCAGTCCTGTTACTAGCAAAGCTGAGTCTTCAGGAAGATGGAATGGTCTGCATACTCCCATCAGTTTAAAATCAAGACTTAACCTGAGTATAGAGGTCCCATCACCTTCCCAGGTAAACATATGTGTATATTTTAAAATTTATTTATGCATACAGAGCTAGGGTACAGGCCAGAGATGCAGTGGGTGGGTCAGGAGAGGTCTGTCGCATCATGTGGTCACCTCCAGGGCAGGGGTCAAAGTCATGCTGAAGTGCTTTTAGCTTTGTAGTGCTGTGCTTTAACCCACTACGCCATCAGGGAGAGCCCCAGGTATATGTATAGTTTTAACTATGATTTAAGTACAAAAGTGGAATGTTCTTTATCAGTGTAGCCAAAAAGGGACACTTTGTTGTTGATACCAAGTGAAAAATTTGTAATTTTTGCAAGTTGAAATACCAGTGAAAGGCCCCTGAGATGTGTAATTAGCTGCCTGAAACATTTGCATACTGGGGATGTTACTTACTTCAGTTGGTGTGGCATACCACTGGGATTGAGTATTGAGCTCAACTGGAAAAGTCAGTTAATGTCCACTAATGGTAGGATGCTGAAGGAGATAGAGACGGGCTGGTAAAAATAGGGGAAGGGGCAGATACTGAGTTCCAGTTATCTAAAAATGGTTGATTCTGGCAAAGTGAAGTTGAAAATATAATCCCCTCATAGCGTAGTCTAAGGGGACGGGCAGAGGGAGGACCTGGTATGGAGGCTAAGATTAAAATTTTATTTTGAAACACCTACTCTCTTGTCTAAAAAGAATGAACTCTCGACACAGGGCTTTCAGTCGTCACTTGTAGCACACCATACAGTATTTGTTTCCGGGGAACTGGCTGCTGACACATGCTTGTCATCTCCAAATTCTACACCTTGCTACTCGGGGTTTAAACTGTGAGGGAGGACTTTCCCAAGTTCAGTGATTAACATTTCTGAACATGCTTTTTAACTTTAGATTTTTGTGTGCCTGGTATTTTATAGCTTGATCAGTCTGTTTTAGAAGCACTTCCACCAGACCTCCGGGAACAAGTAGAGCAGGCTTGTGCTGTTCAGCAAGGAGAGGCACATGGTGACAAAAAGAAAGAACCAGTCAATGGATGTAGTACAGGAATTTTGCCACAACCGGTTGGAACAGTTTTGTTGGAAATACCAGAACCTCAAGAATCTAACAGTGACACAGGAATTAATGTAATAGCCCTTCCAGCATTTTCACAGGTAAGTTAAAATACTCACCCATCTATAGCTGGCAGATGTTGTTTCCCTTTTGTACGCTCACTTCATTGGGGGAAGACAAGATTAGTATATTATGTCCTTCTGCAGATGGTGTAAGGACAAGCTAAATTAAAGAATGACCAGCCTGTTGAAGCTAGTGTGACAGTGCTTAAAGCTTTTACCCAGAACACAATCATCTGTATATAATCTTATAATCAGCCTGTTTCATTTATTAGTTTCAACATTGTTACCTTCACTCTTAAATGTTTACAATGAATGACTTTTAAGGATCATGAGTCAGAACTGCAGTTTGACTCAGAACCTTCTTTTTTGTACTAGGTGGATCCTGAAGTGTTTGCTGCCCTTCCTGCTGAGCTTCAAAAAGAACTCAAAGCAGCTTATGATCAAAGACAAAGGCAGGGAGAGACTAGCACTTACCAACAAACAGCAAGTGCATCTGGTAAGGCTTAGAAGTGACTGTAAGATATGAAATCATTGTTCCATAGTAGTACAAGATGGCCACCGTCTAGAATGTCAGTCGCATTACAAGCACTTCATCTTAATGGCTATAGAACAAGTAGCTGTTGTCATAGTTCCCATTGTAACTGAAGAGTTATCAGTTTTCAGGTTTCTGAGTATGCACTCTAACAACACATTTACTGTATATAGATAGTTCAAATCCTTGTAACACTTACATACAGATTATACAGCAGTGTTCCAGAATAACAAAGATACTTGGAACTTAGATTAACTGCCCCCAGTTTGCATGTGAAGGGGATTGTCTTTGGGGAGAGAAATAACCTGTGATACCTAACATGCTTTTTTGAAGATCTTCTGTTACCTCCTTTTAGTGCCAAAGAACTCATTACTTCAGCTAAAACCAGCAACAGTGAAAGAAAAGAAACGAAACAAGAAAAAAAACCCCATCAGTCCTCAAAAAAAGACTCAGAGTCCTTTGAAAAACAAACTGCTTAACAGTCCTGCAAAATCTTTGCCAGGGGCCTGTGGGAGCCCCCAGAAGTTAATTGATGGGTTCCTAAGACATGAAGGTCCTGCTTCTGAGACACCCCTGGTAACATACTTCCTATTTCACACCATGTCAGACATTGATTAAATGGTTAATTTTTAAACATAGCCTGTGTTTGTTTTTTTTCACAACAGGGAGAATGCTCTGCTTCCGCTGCAGGAGCGCCAAGTTTTTCTGGTCTGCAGCCTGATTTGAGTGGTTTTGCTAATCCCCAAGCACCGAATTTAGCTGGCGCTGTGGAATTCAGTGATGTGAAGACCTTGCTCAAAGAATGGATAACTACTATTTCAGGTTGGCTTGGTTGGTATATAGATAGATTTAAAAACAATAAGCATATACCACCATCTCAATCCTACTTGAAAGTTTCGAAGTGCAGCCCATCCATTCATCTAATAGTTTTAAATCAGTAGTGTAATTGTCCTTCAGAAAGATACATTTATTGGTCTTCATTGGAAGTTTTTTTTCCCTTTCCCAGATCCAATGGAAGAAGACATTCTACAAGTTGTGAAGTACTGTACTGACCTAATAGAAGAAAAAGATTTGGAAAAGCTTGATCTAGTAATAAAATACATGAAAAGGTAACTTACCAAATAGGGGAAATGACATCACAAAATCAGAGGCAATGAGTACATTTTGCACTTTCTGGCAATATATTAATTACCCCTTTATTTTGAATCCTGGAGAAAGAAACATGAACTGGGTAAAACCATAGTGAGTACTTTCAGTGTTAAAGCTGAACTAGAGGAATTCATCTTTGCTCATTTGTTTTCCTTTCCCACCTGTAGGTTGATGCAGCAGTCGGTGGAATCAGTTTGGAATATGGCATTTGACTTTATTCTTGACAATGTTCAGGTGGTTTTACAACAAACGTATGGAAGCACATTAAAAGTGACATAAAGATTACCAGGGAGCCTGGTGCTCTCTAGCTGTGCCATAAGTGCTTGTGAGGTATTTGCAAAGTGCATGATAGTAATGCTCTGCGTTTTTATAATTTTAAGCAAGTGTTTTTGTACATTTCTTTTCAATAAGTGCCAAATTTGTCAGTATTGCATGTAAATAATTGTGTTAATTCTTTTACTGTAGTATAGATTCTATTTACAAAATGTTTGTTTATAAAGTTTTATGGATTTTTACAGTGAAGTGTTTACAGTTGTTTAATAAAGAACTGTATGTATATTTTGTACAGGGTCCTTTTTTGTGAATCTGTAAAAACCAAATCCTGATTTGTATTATACTTACTGTTACTGGCTCCATGCTGAGGTCCCAGTCTGTGATTCTACTTGTTCTAACCAATCTCATCCCCAAGCATGAACACAGGAGCTTGTTGAGAAAATCTTCTTTACTTCTTCCAAATGGAGGAATTTACATATTTGAATTAGAATACACACACAATTGAAGTCTGTATTCAAAGATGATGGCTTAAAGGTGTTCTTTCCCTCTTCTGGTCCTTATGAAACTTAAATGCATACTTTGCTACTATGATATGTAGTAATTCTATGCCAGTGAATACTTGGGAACATCTTCCTCAAACACCCTACAGTGACTTCAACACTGTGCTATAAATAGATATTAGAGATGTGTTATAAGAATATTAAATGGTAATACATTTCTTACCTTGAGGAAAGAAGTATATGTATGTGGATCCACTTACCACATCCTTCAGAAAAAATCATAAAACTACAGATTACAGATAAATCACTGTGATGGCTTTACAACTTCTAAGCCCAAATAATTCACTGCTGATTGTCTCATCTGAAAACGTGTGCATGATAGAATTTCTATGACAAAGTAAGAACAGTATATAAAAAGCCCTAGTGTTAACATATTTTAGTTCACAAGGTATGGATAAAATACTTCTTATCCTTAGAAGAGCTGAGCCATGAGGAGCTAATCTACCATGGAGGCCTAACAGAGCTGACTGGTGAATGTCTGTTTTCTTTATTGGCGGTTAAGAATTATGCTATTACAGTGGACTCTCGTGACTACACAAGCAGTAAATAGCCAGCTATGCTTTTACACCATGGTTTCACACAAAGCAGATATATAGATCAGAATGCCTAATTTTCTACTTTTAAAAATTCCTAAGGGCATATGGCAGAATACCCCCTCCCCCCACCAAAAAAAGTCACTGTGGGAAAGAGATGCATAAATAAAGTTACTTCTTAACATCAAAAAGTCCCAAGAATCACAAAATCTGCAGAAGCTTTGTTAATCAAATACTGCAGTACTGATTTAATCAGTATAAAATTGAAAGAGCTTTAGATCTGTAATAAAAATCCAAATTTGGGGAGGGCAAACTTTAAAACAGCAGCCAGTAGAGAAGGGTGGGGAGGAGTTGGGTGAGTGAACAGGCACGTTGGAACTGTGGGGACATGTAATCGACCACTGTCAAACCAGTGTAAGTTTCTTGGTTTCTCATGGAAAACATTTATACACCTATTTTTTTCCTTCCATACTTAAGTTCATCAATGTCCAGATACATCCATTCCATTTTGTGTTGTTTTTGTTGGTGACATCACAATATTGCAGTTACTTCATTTCCTGCTCCAGGTGGAAAAATTAGATGATTTCAAATACTTTCTTCAGCTCCACAATAAGCTGCCAGTCACTCTTCTGCATTTCATCTCTGAACCAGTCTTTGAGGGCATCTATGGACTGCCGACTTATCTGCAAGAAGCACAAATAGTAAACAATGTAACAAATGCCAAAGTAAAGCATGTGGCTCTATTACTCTGTTCACCAGATACTCTACAACAAAGAAAGCTGAGGTAGAAATAACCTGCCTTCCATTGTGGGAAGCAGAGTAATCAACACTACCTGGTGAGACAAGACTATCCTATACATATAGTTCTAACAATTAAAGTCCCATGTAATTCCAGAAGTTCTAACTTCAGTCCTTGGAACTATTACATAAAGGTAACCAGAGGCTCCTCTATTAAAATATTGGATTGTTGGAAAAGTCACAGTGCATTTTTGCATAGGAAACAAAAATGTGTCATGGCTTTTCCAACAGCCCAGCTTGCTTTTGCTGAGATACTTACCTTACTGACGAGAATGTCTGTAGCTTCAAAATGTCTTCCATACATTTTGGGAGATTCACCAGGGATAGGTTCTATCTTGACACAGACTTCTTGTCCCTTTTTTGCAACATCTACTTGTTTATGGTTTATTTCAATACTTGTTACTATTCCAATGTCAACAAACTATAAAATAAAAACAAACTACAATGTATTGAGAGGAATCATGCCAGTAACATCACTGGAAAGCTGAAATAAAAACTTGGGCAAGAGTGTCTTTAAAATCTTAGTTCTGTGGCCCTCCCTGGTGGCATGGTGGGTTAAAGCACAGCACTAAGAAGCTAAAGCCACTTCAGCATGACTTCGATCCCCACCACCCATGTGGGTGATCCACATTACACGGCAGACCTCTCCTAACCAGCCTGCTGGCTCCCCTCAGCAGTGTACTTCATCAGTCGGCCTGTTCTGCTCCCCTCTCTTGTCTGGTGAATCCTCTCACTGCCCCTGCACTTCTGGCCTGTACCCCAGTTCTGTATGAATAAATAAATCTTTAAAAAAATCTTAGTTCTGTAACCCAATTATCAATCTCCACAGTGTCACTTTCTCACTGGTACACTACATCCATCTGCCTTTCATAAGTTGGCTTCAAGGAGAACAGGAGATGACTGATGCTTTGGAAAATGTGGAAAGTGTTCTGTCACCCCATTGTAGTAGTCTGTTTCTCCATGACTCACATAACTAGTGCCATGCTCATGGGAACAGCTGCCACAAAGGTTTTGTACCAAGAATTAGCCTGGAGCGTGACCAGAGGGACAAACAAGGGAGGATGAAGAGTAAGAATGGAGCCAGGGAGGCAACTGGACACATGGGGGTGGAGGGGTAGGACACAGTATTAACCATTGCCTTTCATACTGGAGATTAAAGAAGTTTGGGCAAGTGAATGATCTAATTTCACTTCCAGTTTGAGAAGAAAGGGGGAAAGAACTACGGCTTGTCCTGGGAAGATACACAGTAAGTGAAGACACAAAAACCAAAATAACCAAATGCAATGCATCTTTCAGGGACGCTGGGCCAAGTTCACGTGTATAGCTATTAAAAACATGTTGGGTACAAATGATGAAATCTGAGGACCATTAAGTATACAATGTTATCAAGTAAACACTAATTTAGATCTAATCTAGAAGAGGGGAATATGAATTTTTTTGTTTAAATGGCAGTAATTCAAAGTAATGGCACTTTCACTAACAATTTGAAATTATCGGATGCTAAAAAAACACTGAGGAACACTGGTATTTAGCCTCATTGAGATATAAATTACAAGTGACAGGCTTCCCTTGATTTAAACGTTTGCCATCACTATTAGACTCCCACTATTTGCTGCTCTGAGATATGACAAAAACACAACAGGGACTTACATTTTTGCTAGGGACGCACATGGGTGTCCCCTGTTTCACCTGACCAGCTTCCACAGTCACTCCCATCACAATTGGATCTCGAGAATTGAAAATAAACTGAGGAAGGATTTTCATCTTGCAGGGAAATACTGCTATGTGCCTAAAAAGAAAAAAGAAAACCCAAGAATATTTAAACTTAAAAAAAATCACTAAAAACAAATACAGGCCTTACTCATAAGGCCTGTCCTCTTAGGTAAGAGCAGCTTTCCTCCCTGGGCCCAGAAGAGCAGCAACAAGCACGATGCAGACACTTCAAAGATAAGTGCTGCAGATCATGGCAGCCTTCATGTGTTGCTTCATTTTCTCTTCATCTCCCCACCCCTCTCCCCATACAGGAATCTTTGTAACTAGACTTTAAGATTTGAATCTTAGTGTGCCCTGGAGATAGAAATTTTATAAAACCTATCAGAAACTGACAGGCACACCAGGTGACACTTACGTAGTCACTTCTGGGGACCACAGAAATACCAAGCCGCATCCTTTCCTCTACGTTCTCAAATCGACTGCTTGAAAGGCTACTCTGTCCCTATGTGTTAGCAGATGCTTAAGGTGCTTTAAATTCCTAGTAGTTTCGTAATCAAATGTCTTTTTCACATTTCACGTTCTAAAGTATACCACAACCTATTTACCAGCCTAATATTTACCAGATGTTTCTACTTTTAAAATGGAGCCATCACTCCCCACAATCCCTCTGGTGTAATTCACTATTACATTCTGCCTGGACTATAGGAGCCTCCTGATAAGAAATTGGTGAGAAGCGCTTAACACTCTCAGTCCTTCCAACTTCTCTAACCTCATTTCTTATCTTTCCCCAATTTCACCAGGTCTGCCCCATCTCTGAACCCATTTCTATTTCCTAGTGCCCTCTGCCTGAATGCCCCCAATATGTGTGGCTGGGTCACTTCAAGCCTTCTACATTTCCACTCCAATAAGAGCCCTCTGAGATGAACTGCTGTCTCCAACCTCTTGGTTAATTGTTCTCCCCTCTGTCCTAGAAAAGCCAGACTTTCCCAGCTTTGTTTTGTTTCAAATGTATTTATTGTGTATCTCTCCTGAATTCCAAGAGGAGTGGTTTGGCTGGAGTCCTTGTTAACTCCTGCAATACCTGCAGCAGTGCCAACTGCACTGAGCACTCCTAAGGTTTGATGGAGTAAAGAAATACCTCACCTCACTTCCCAATATCCCACTCTTAATATTGTCACTTCCATTCTATGCAATCCCAGATCAGGAACTCCAGCAAGATAAAGCTCCCAAATGTAGCAACTACTCACACATTTGACACCTAATGCTCCAAATCGAAAAATTAAAAAAAAAAAAATTCAGACAGGACACTCCCATACTGCTAGAATGTCTCAGGTGGACAGGACTTGTGATTTGTAACACTCCAGGATGCAGCTGCTGGTATATGAGCAAATTCCCTGCTTCTATGGTCTACATACTGTTCTGGTATTCAGTAATTCTCAAACTTCATTCTCAAAGATCCAGAGTCAGTAAAATCACCTACTTAAATTCTTCTTGTTTCTGTTTCTTGTAGTCTTGTCTGTATTTTGTAAAGGCATCAAATAAGTGATAAATAATTTCTGCACTAAAGATTCTGACTCCTAAGCTATCAGCCATTTCTTGTGCATCTCGTTCAATTCTCACATCAAAAGCCAAAATCACTGCATACCTGAAAGGTTAAAACACAAATATCAGTCAGTGAAAAATGGATCGTTCATTCAACTGTCATAAAGTTGAATGACAGTTCTATGAAAATAGGTAGGTAATATAAGTATCTCACATCAGAAAAGAAATTACTTACTGAGGATCATGTTCCAACATCACTGAGGCCTTCATAACATCTTTTTTATGGACAGGGCCAATGTTAATGCCTGCGTACTATAAAAAGAGTTCCCAAGTTTAATTGTGTCAGGTAACAGAAACAATACCACAAACCATGCCAGCCATTTAACTGGTGGAGCTGGGCAGGAATACTTACGGGCACTTCCGATGTTTTCAAAAATTCCAGCAGTGCTTCCAGGGACCCCAAGGTAGATGCCTGGACATAAACTCCTTTTTCTTCTAATTTGATAGCATTTAGTGTTTGCTTTAACTCATGAATCAATTCATCCTTGAAAAGAAATTAAATTTGACAAAGTCATACTTCTATCCAGCTGCCACCTAGAATTAAGCTAGATTCACCTGAAAATACACAACAGAGGCTATGAAAGAGCAAAGAATAGCAGAACCTATGCTAGTGTGGAGAGATTTGGGCCCTGTATCTGAGCCAAACCTTTGTCATTCCACCTTTGTCCATCTTAGGTTTACTAACATTAAAATATTGTTTAACTTCTCCACTTTACAGATAAGTACATGGGTAGGGAGAATGAAATAATTCAAATCACTTAAAAGCTAAAAGGACTGCAGAAACGTGTTGTGGGCACCCAAAGGCTCTATCTTAATGATGAAATGCCCTAATTCCATGATCTGAGCATCCCTTTTCTCCATCATTACTCTGCTGGAGATGGAGAAAGAGATTGTAACCACAAGCAATGCCACTAAAGTAAACGTCCATGCCATTCTCAGGATGTCAGAAAGATAGCTGTCCTATTGTCACTGGTGCTATGGGGGCAAATTTCCTGATGGCAGTAACCTGTAGCTGCCTAAATAATAACGGTGGTCCTAACACACTAGATCAGCCATGTGCTGGGATCTTCTCCCACTTGGCAAATGAGCAAGTAAACCATGGCCCACAGTTTGTTTTCATGAAACTACAATAGACTCATGGTCACCTGCTCCTATCAACAGGCAGTCAAACATTAAAATGACTCCTAGTACCTAATTATATTCTCTTTGTTTACAGATTAAGGCATTTAAGATAAAAGAAAAACTTCTACATTTTGATTCATTTTTTACTTAAATAAGATGCATACTTTGCAATTCTAGTTGCTATGCCAATTCATATAAACTGAAGTAGTTTAAGAGTATCATTATTCCTTCCTCAAGGTTACCATATAGGGCTACACAAAGAATAAGGTTCCCATTTTACTCACCATTGCTAATGTCCCCTCTCTGACATATGGCAGAACTCAAATAGCTTTCTAGGGGGATAATATTAAAATAACTTACTTTAAGAACTGGAATTTCATCTTCTTTATAAGCCACCAGGAGGGGTAAACCAGCCAAGGTTTTCTCCAGGTCTTTTCCAAGAATCTTTACCCCCTGAGCTGCTTCCACTTCTTTATGTTTTTCATACTGGTTCTACAGAGTTCAAAACATTTGTTACCAAATTTATTTGGTAAGTGGTTAGCAGTAGTAAATGACTGATACAGCATGCAATATTTTCATGACCTTGGAGGTAGAGAAGGAGTTCCTTAACTAGACCCAAAAAGCAATAATCTCACAAGATTGCTAAATTCAACATTAAAAGTATTTGCTTCTCAAGCTACTATAAAAAAGGTAAGATGACAAAACACTAAGGAGAAGATGCTGAGGTCTATAAGTAAACCAGGAACTAGTCTCTTGACTAGATAAAACATTCTTATAAATCTATAATAAACACTGACAATGCTAGAGCCTTCCTGGTGGCACAGGGGTTGAAGTCTCAGTGCCTTCAAAGTATTGCCTGCCACTGCTGCAGGATGCATGAGTTTGATCCACAGCCAGGGAGCTAACTCATAATGATGCAGATCTCTCCTATCTCGCCCACTGCACCCCTCAGCAATATTATTTTAGTAAAAATGTGCCTGTTCAACTACTCCCCACTTTGTCTCTGGTGAATCCTCTGATCCCCATCCCCCCCAACTTCTGGCCTAAAACCCAGTTCTGTTATGCATTGAAAAAAAAAAAAAAAAGACTGACAATATTGAAACAAAATTGAAATTTCATAGAGAGGTCTTTTAAATGGCTAAAAATTTGAAATAATGACCGATCATATTTCAAGCACACAAGTGCAAACTTTAACAGCAATGAGCTATACATTCACCAATAAAGCAAATTTTAAAATTTCTGGCATCAAAGAGCTGAAGATATAAAACAATAATGCTGCAGTTCAAGTGTAACTAATTACACTCACTAAGGACAACAGAGTGGCCTTACCTAATAAAACTTGAGATAAGCATTAAGTAACAACTCAGTAATTCACTCCTGTATATACACTGTAGAGAAACTTGTACAACTGCCCCAGGAGATAATAAAATAAAGTGCACTGGAATAGCACTGTTAGTAGTAACAAAAATTTGAAAAGTAAAGACAGGCTACACTTTTCATCAACAAGAGAATAAGCCATAAGATTGTCATGCAATAATAGCATTCAACAAAAATGAATAGTTAAATGCAACGAAATGAACAAATCTGAACATTTTTTGACTGAAGAAATCAGATACAAGGGAACACTATATAAAATCCATACATATTTTCAGAAGTACTCTCTCAGGTATTATAACTATTTTTAAAAAGCAAGGATATTAGTTACCACCATAAAAATATAACCATAATTAACGTATATGGAGGGAGCTAAGATCAGGAGGAGGCATAAAGACAACTGTAGGGTGTTTTGCAGTGTTCTGATTTTCTTTTACCTAATTGTGCTTCTAAAAATATATTAAAGTTACCCTCTGTTTGTTACTATGTAAAATGTTTGATTTCACAAAATTATTAATAAAAACTAGTTAAGAACCAAAACAATATGACCTTCACAAAAAATTCAGTTAGTAAATGGGAACCTTCCTACAAGAGTCCACTGAGTTTTATAACATCTAAATTAAAGCCAAGAGGAAGATGTACACAAGCCAGGCAGTACACAAGCCAAGCGAGAAAGCAACCTTACCAGAACTTACGTAAACAGTGTACAAGTGCATACATGTCAACACTGCAACTTGACTTACCTTCACTCGTAATTCCTTCATAGGTGGAGGCAACAGAAGGCCTCGAATCTGAGTTACAATGGGACCTTCTACTCCAGGAACAATGATTGTATCTCCTTCCTTCAAACGACCATTAATCAATATTACATCTATAGTGGTGCCCATTCCTGGGAGAGCCTTAACCTAAGAGACAGTATTGCAAAGGGAGTGAAATACATGCTACAATATACCTCAATGACTAAATGTAGTATCAGAAAACATCCCCACCGAAAAGGCATAAATTGGAAAGTTGACCAGTATTACCTCCATCACCTGGGCCCTCAGCTCTTCACAGTGGGCAAGTCTCTTGCTCAACATGGTCTGAGTTAACTCAACAAGAAGGTAGATCAGACTTCCCATGCCATCACCAGTATGTGCAGAGGTAGGTACCAATGACACGAAAGTGCGGGGATCTTTATTCTCATAAAACAAAGCTGCATTCAAACCCTAGAGACATGAAAAGCAAGAGTATTCCAAAAATCAAGCTGTAAAAAGAGGTACCCAAGAATAGAAAATAGATGAATAAGTGTTACTCATTCTGAAGCTACACAAAAACAGATCATAATCTGTAATATTAACTATATTACAGAAATGCCAACTCAATTTTTAAATCCAGACCACAAAAAAAGATCTTTGAACTATGAACTATGCTATAAAAAGGAATAGGATAAGGGAAAAGAATGAAACACAATAATAACCATTAGAATAAAGACAGTAGTGATGAAAATACTAACTTTATAATAAATATAATGGAATAAATATTTTGATATAAGTTCTTAATGTGGGAACACTTTCTTACCTGCTGCGCAAATTCCACAATAATAGCCTTTGCTCGCTCCTCAAATTCATCTTTTGTATTCTTCTTCTGCTTTTTTAAAGTAGCAGCCACATCAGAGTCAGGGCTCTTTTTCCAGTCATACAACCTATCAATCTGGAAAAGGCTTTTCGTAAGAAACACCTCTAAAACATCCAAAATACTTGGGAGTTTAATTAAGATTAAAAGCTCCAGAAAATTCCTAGTGTTTGCATACATGCTATGGTCACAGTCTCTCTCCATATCCAAATGTATAAATTATGTACCTGAAGTCCTTTATACCCTAGCTTAACTGTATTTTTTTCTTAAATTATAAACACTTGAAATTATCATGCACTCAACCTACAACCAGTTCAGGAGAGGATTCCAGTGGCTTATCCGAGAGCCTATCCCAGTGAAAGAAAGATAAGCTCCTAGTATTACCACATAACCACTAACAAACATATTACTGGAAATCCAAAGTGGTTTTGTTAAGCACATGGGAACATGGGTTAATTACAGCAAGTACCATTACCAGGAAAATTACATACCAAGAAAGTTGAAAGCAAAAAATGAAGTTCTTTCTTCTTTCAGAAAATAACCCATTTTAACTGCCTCACTGATCAAATTAGAATTAAATTTGCTTAATTTCATAAGCTTTCCAAAAGTAGGTTAGTATAGAGAGGAAAAAAATAAAAGCAAAAAAAAAATCTATTGGATTACTTTATGGTGATAATATAAAAAAAGTAGACAAATATGAAAACTACGAAGGAGAAATAAGTTGACACAGATAATAACAAAGATGATATTTAGCATATAAGGTTATTATACTCAAAAGCTGGTAAAACTCACTGACTTTAAAAGAAAAACATGTAACCTGTACTTTAAAAGTATATAATCTGCAATGAAAAATTTATTAGCAGTTGAATAGCAATTACATGCTACCAAGCATTCTCCTAAAGATAAAGCAATAAAAATTATCCCATTTCGAAGATATGGAGAAAGAAAATGATTAAAAAAAAAACTTGTGAGAACAGTATTAAAAGAAATAACAATTTTTAGGAAAGTCCTATAGTGGAAAAACAGAGCAGAACATCTGAATGAGTATCAACCACGACTGGAGGACTGTTAAGTCTATACATCTCAATTATTAAACCCAAATAGCATAAAAATAAACTACTATATAGTAACTTTGGTAAAATGCTTAAAATATCCTAAAAGTAGTCAAAGACAAAAAAAGACACCATTACATACATGGAGACAAAGAATGAGTAAATACCAGAAACAAGGATAAAGTTAAAAAAAAATTTTAAATCTAAAATTCTGTATCAAGTGAAAATATTCAGAAGACATTTTCATTTAAATTGATAAAGAATAATACACAAAGACATGTAACCAACACTTAGAAGGAAAATATCCTTTAAATTCTTAAAAGCAAAAATATTAATGATATAAGTGTCCAACTTAAGAAGTTGGAAAAGCATCCTCTCACCGCCCCTGAGCCTCTGGCCTGTACCCCAGTCCTGTATGCACAAATAAATAAATCTTTAAAAAAAAAAAAAAAAAGGAAGTTGGAAAAGCAAATGGAAACAGAAGACTGTGATAAAATGAATGCAGGAAACCAAAGACATATAGCCAATACAGAATATTGATAAATCCAAAAGCATTATTTGAAAGATACAAAATGACTTAATTGAAATAACTATTATATTTCCACTAAGCATCACTGAGAATCAACGTATATATATATATACCACATTATATTCACCACTAATATCCAATTCTACTCTACATACCATTGTCCCCTTAGTCCTAATTTAAGTACTCCACTCATCACTTTTTGTTAGCCATTAATTAGTATAATAGTCCAAGTTTAGTTTTGTTCTATTTTCCTTGTTTGTTTTCCCTGTATACCACATATCTGAGAAATAATAGTGTTTAATTATGTATGCTTTATTTTACTAAGCATGTGATTACCCTCTAGATACATCCATATTGTGAAATGACAAAAGTTTTCATCTATTCTTTTTCTTTGAACATTAGAAATTCCTTTATTCATCTTAAACCTGTATAGCATGTCACTGTGTATATAGACTACCCTTTATTCATTCGTCAAGTCAAAGGGGACTTAGGTTGCTTTCAATTCTCACCTACTATAAAGTGTGGCAGGTACATGGGGATTCACAGGTCTGAATTAGTGAAGAGGTGGCTGGAGGGCAAATACCCAGGAGCTGGGATAAGTGGATCTAATGGAGTAACTATTTAAATTTTTGAGAAATCGGGCCCTCCCTGGTGGCGCAGTGGGTTAAAGCACAGCACTAAGAAGCTAAAGCCACTTCCACATGAGTTCGATTCCCACCTGCCCCGGAGGTGACCACATGGCGTGGTAGACCTCTCCTGACCCGCTCGCTGCTCCCCTCAGCAGTGTACTTCATAGATCTGCCTGTTCTGTTCCCTACTCTGTCTCTGGTGAAGCCTCTCGCGTGTATCCCAGTTCTGTATGCACAAACAAATCTTTAAAAAAAATTTTTTTGAGAAATCTCTATATTGCTTCCCATGGTTGTACCACTTTACAGTCCCACCAACCATGTTTCCCTTTTGCTCACATCCTCTGCTAACACTTCTTTCTCATCTTTTGGATAGCAGCCATTCTTACAGGTATGACGTGATAACTGCTTTGATGTTGATATGTCACTATTACATTTCCCTAAAATAAAGGCTTTTTTCCCAAGTGTGACCATCTATATGTCTTCTCTGTAGACATTCAGGGCCCTCCCTGGTGGCAAATTTGGTTTAAAGCGCAGTACGGCGAAATTAGCTGTGGTTGCTTCAGCGTGAGTTTGATCCCGCGTGAGTTTGATCCCTGGCCCTTAGAAATACCCACATGGCACAGCAGATCTTGCCCGTCTCGCCCGCTGCTCCCCGTAGTAGTGTACTTTGTTGATCTACTTGGTTCTGCTCCCTATTCTGTCTCTGGTGAATCCTCTCACTGCCCCTGCACCTCTGGCCTGCATCCCAGTTCTGTATGCATAAACAAGTAAATTTAAAAAAAGAAATGTCTACTCCCATGTCCATTTTTAATTTGGTTATTTGTTTTCTATTGCTCAGTTTTATTAATCCTTTGTATATTCTGGATATTCACACCTTGCTGGATTTGATATGGATATATTTTCTGCCAGTTCACAAGATGTCTTTCCATATTTTTTTTTGCATTTTTTAAAGTATATAATAGTTTACTGTCTTTCCATTTTAATGTAAACTTTTCACTATGCAGAATCTTTTCAGTTTGATGTAGTTCCACTGTTTCCTTTTGCTTTGTTATCCTTGCCACTGGAGTCCTTCAGCACATCAATAGGGCTGATAGTTTTCAACTATGTATTTTATAGTTTCTCGCCTGACATCCAAGTTTTTAATTCATTTTAAATTTACATAGTGTTCCAGTTTCACTTTTTGTATGTGGCTGTCCAGTTTTGCCAACAGCATTTATTGAAGAGACTTTATAAGACTTTGTAAGCTCTCCACTCCTTTGTGGTAAATAAGTTGTCCGTCTGTGTGTGTTCTTATTTCTGACCTTTCAATTCTATTCCATTGATCTATTTTTATTCTACTACCTACCTGTCTTAATCAGTATTGATTTGCAGTATAGTTCAAAGGGAACCTGATACCTATTTTTTTATTCAGAAATGTTTTTGCAGTTCCAAATAAATTTTATTATTTTTGTTTATTTCTGTAAAAAAATGTCAAGGGATTGGGCCCTCCCTGATGGCGCAGCAGGTTAAAGCACAGCACTAAGAAGCTAAAGCCACTTCCGCATGAGTTCGATTCCCGCCTGCCCCGGAGGTGACCACATGGCGTGGCAGACCTCTCCTGACCCGCCCACTCCTCCCCTCAGCAGTGTACTTCGTCCATCTACCTGTTCTGTTCCCCACTCTGTCTCTGGTGAAGCCTCTCACCATCCCTGAGCCTCTGGCCTGCAACCCAGTTCTATATGCACAAATAAATCTTTAAAAAAAAAAAAAAATGGGTCTTCACCAAAGATATTCATATGGCAAATAAGCTCATGAAAAGATGCTTCCTACCGTACACGATCAGGGAACTATAAATTAAAACAACACAATCTTGCTACATACCTATTAGAATGGAAAAAATCCAAAATACTAAGAATACCAAATACTGGTTGGTGAGCATGTGGAACAACATGAATTCTCACTAACTTTTGTGGAAACACAAAAATGATAGTCACTTTGATAATTTCTTACAAAACTAAACATACTTTATCATCTAGGTATCATACTCCTTGGTATTTACCTAGGAATTAAAAATTTACACCACCCCAAAACCAGCACATAAATGTTTACTCATAATGCAAAACTTAGGTGTCCTTCAGTGGGTGGATGGATAAACTGTGCTATATCTGGACAATGGAATATTATTCAGTACTTCAGTGCTAAAAGGAAATGAAGTGCCAAGCCATGAAAAGACATGGAGGACACATTAATACATAAGACAGTAAGTGAAAGACAACAAACTGAAAAGACTACATACCGTAGGATTCCAACTATATGACACTCTGGAAAAGGCAAAACTACGGAGACAGTAAAGAAGATCAGTGGATAACATGAATGAATAGGTAGGACACAGAATTTTTAGGCAAGAAAATACTATGATACCATGATGGATATATGTCATTATACAGTTATCCAATGCCATAGGATGTACACCAACAGTGAAGAACCTTTATGTACACTATGGACATTTTAGGTAATAATCATGAGTAAATGTAGGTTCATCAACAGCATCAAACATACCACTATGATGGAAAGGAGAACACTGGGGAGGCTGTGTATGTAATTACAGGTGGCTGTATATGGATATTTATGAATTTTTCTGTGAACCTTAAACTGCTCTTAAAAAAGGAAAATCTGGCCCTCCCTGGTGGCGCAGCGGGTTAAAGCACAGCACTGAGAATCTAAAGCCGCTTCCGCATGGGTTCGATTCCCGCCTGCCCCGGAGGTGACCACATGGCTGGCAGACCTCTCCTGACCCGCCCGCTGCTCCCCTCAGCAGTGTACTTCGTCGATCCGCCTGTTCTGCTCCCCACTCTGTCTCTGGTGAAGCCTCTCACCCTCCGCATCTCTGGCCTGTACCCCAGTTCTGTATGAATAAATAAATAAATCTTAAAAAAAAAAAAAAAAAAGGAAAATCTGAAACAGAAAATTAGTAAATGCCCACAAAGTATTACTAAGTCACTTTTGTCAAGTTAACACCAAGAGATACAAAGTGTCTATCTAACAAAAAATAACAATCATTCACAACAAAACAATTAAGGCCAGCAAACACTAACCAACCCAGACACAGAAAGAAATTCCCCTTAGTCTGGTAGCATTTACAAAAAACCAAAATCTTACAACTGATTAATAATTTATAATGAAGGATCAAGCACTTGCCCCCAAAGACCAGAAAGAATGCAGAATTATTCATCATAGTTTGACAAGTCCAGTTAGTAAAAGTAAGGAAGAAAAAATTCAGAGCAAATAGATAAGGGAAAATATACAACAGTAATTGCAGGTAACATAATAATGTACATAGAAAATCTCACATGATGTATAGAAAGTTTCTAGGACTAATCAGTGATTTTAACAAGCTCACAAAATAAAAGATCAGTATGTAAAAATCAATTGTCTTTCTATGTAAAAGTGACAAGTAAAAATCCAAATTTTAATGCTATTTACAATAGTATCAAAACTATGAAATAGAGCTAATTTTAGAAAAATAAATCCAACACATTGATAACAAAACTATAAAATACTGCCATGAGAGTAAAGTCTAAATAATACAGATATTTCATTGCTCAGAAGACTCAATTTGGTTAAAATGTCAACTGTCAGGCCTCACTGGTGATGAAGGGGTTAAAGTCTCAGTGCTGTCAAGCTATGACCAGCCACTACAGCATGACCTCACTTATCTTGCCTACTGCTCCTCTCAGCAGTATATTTCAGTGGGTCCACCTGCTCTGCTCCGCACTCTCTCTGGTGACTCCTCTTACCCACCTCACCTCTGGGCCTATCCTAGTTCTTTCTTTCTTACATACATACATAAATATAAAAATAAAACAAGATGTCATTTCTCCCTGAATTTATCTATAGATTAAATACAATCTTAATCAGAATCCTCAAAGTTTTTTGTAAAAACTAAGAGATTAATGCTAAATTTTATAAAGAAAAAATTCAAGGATATAAAACAATTTCCAGAAACCAAAAGCTGAACTTAACACTACTTGTTTTCAAAACTTTACTAAGAAATTGCAAAAATCATAACAGGATAATAAAGGCATGAACATATTGGTTAATAAAAGACAAACATTAAGAGACACACACACTTATCTATATAAATTGTCAAATTTACAACAAAGTCTTTGAAGTCAGTCATAGGAAAAACTATTATTTTCAACAAAAACTTTGAACAAGATATTTATATGGAAATAAATAAAGCTTGACCCTCACCACACATTAAGCACAAACATTAAAGATATTTACAAAAATGTTAAATATCTAGGGCCCTCCCTGGTGGGACAATGGATTAAAGCACAGCACTATGAAGCTATTTGCAGCCACTGCAGCATGAGTTCAATCCCTGACCAGGGAGATGGCCCACATGGCATGGCAGACCTCTCCTGACACGCCTGCTGCTCCCCTTAGCAATGTGGTTCAGTACTTCAGCCTATTCTGCTCCCCACTCTTTCCCTGGTGAATCCTCTCACACACAATGCCCCTCCCCACCCTCTGGTTTGTATCCCAGTCTTGTGTACATAAACAAAATAAATCTTAAAAAAAAGGTAAAATATCTACAAACAGTGGAGAAAATGTTCAGGATCTTGGGGTATGAAAAGATTGCTTATATAATACACAATAAACACAAAGTATTTAAATATTCTCAAATTGGATTTTGTCAAATTTAGAACATTCTGTTCTTAAAAACACATCAAGAAAATGAAACACTAAGTCCTTAACTATAAGAATATATATGAAATAACTGCATAATTGACAGAAGACTTAAAACATAAAGAACTTTCAAAACTCAACACACTAATCAAGTATTCTTTTTGAATACTTCAAAAAGAAGTCATGCCATGATATCTGATAGCATGAGTCACCATGGAAACTCAAATTAAGCTATAGTTCTTAAGCACTATAGTTATTAAAATGGCTTGCTACAGATAGGGCAAGTGTCAGCAAAAATGTATATAGAAACTGGAACTCATACATAGCTCATTGAATGTAAAATGGTATAATCTCTTCTGAAAAATTATCAGTTTCTCATAAAGTTGAACTTATGTATACCATGATTTTTACTGAAAGTGAACAGAAACAAATGTCTACACAGATTTACATAAATGTTTGTAGTGGTTTTACTAATAACCTAAATTTGGAAGCAATCTCAATATCCTTCAATCATAAAGCATAGTATCACTCATATAATCAAACATAACTTGGCAAAAAAAGGGAAAATACCTGTGTATAATAACATGGATAAATTTATTTTGAGTAGTTGAAATGACAAATTAATCCACATGCTGCGCAATGCCTTTAATATAAAAAACAGGCAAAACTAGTCTGTGTGATAGAAAGATCATCAGTATTTGGGATTGGAAATGTGGGCAGGCTATAAATGAACATTCTGGGAATATGGAGTTATTCTATATTCTGAAAGATGATGGTTACATAAAACCAATAAAGTAATTAAGAATCAATTTCTCAGAATTTAATTTTCCAAGAGAGCTTACCTTATTGAGTGCAACAATGAAGGGGCACTTTTTAGATTTCAGAAGGTTAATAGATTCAATTGTCTGGGGCTCCAAACCATGCATAATATCAACAACTAAAATGGCAATATCACAAAGAGAACTTCCTCTGTTTCTCAGATTACTATTGAAAAGAAGAAAAGAATACATAAATAGCAATAGTGAAATGAACACTTTCCACTTGTCAAATTTTTAATTTCTTTGTAAAGCCTAAATAACAAGAACAAAATGAAGTACATGCATTAAATTCAAGTGCCATTAGCCCTTAACTTGCCAAATGCTTATCTGACAGTGAACTGACATCAGTTGGAATGAGTTAGTTCCAGCAGTTACTCCAATATTTCTGCCAATTTTACTGACCAAGTTTTTTGCGCTAAGGAACAAGGCCAAGAGGCAACAGGATAAAATTCCACCTGTAATGGGTTTCACAGGAGATAGACCAGGTATGTATTAGGATTTGCTCTTTAAAAGTAAGACTTCTCTCTATAAAACACAAGTATTCATATAAAATAGTACTCAGTGAGGCACAAATGAGGATTAGTAGTTACTGGGACTAAATTTTAAATACTATCCAAAGATTAATAGCTAGCAAATACCTTACCATCACTGAACTTTTAGACTTAATGGTTTCAAGCAATATGCTTGATGACAAAAGATTCTTACCTGAAAGATTCATGCCCTGGAGTATCAATAATCAGCATTCCGGGTATCCGTACATTCTCTCTGTCAAACTAGAAAAGGTGGGAAGAAGTGAAGAGTTTACAGAAGTCAAAACACTTAAAGTTTCTTTACAGAATTACTATTCTGCAATAAAAACTTGAATACACCACTTTCCCCAAATGAACTGCTTTAAAACAATCAACCAATAAAGCACAGCAATTATTATTTTCATTAATATTAGTTTTGCAAAAATAAAGCTAAAATGATAAAAGACTCCCTTTATAAGAGTCATAAAATATGGTACAATCGAAATTTGAAAGACTGACAGCAACAATAACAGAGCAGTCCTCCAAGTGATTATTTATAAAAAAAAAATAATGACATGGCAAGGTGTTCTTAGTATTTTGGAAAATTTGTCTAATCCAATTTTAAAGCAATTTAAACTCTTGAGAAATATCCCAGGGGGTGTTTTAAAGAAATTTTTTCCACTAACCTAAAATATCACATACAGTCAGTATCTTTATTCAAATATCATGAATACTTTATTTTCTGGACAGAAGTATATAAAAATTCCAAGAGGCCTGATTGAACATGCTCTTTAACTTTCAAATTTCAGTCTCAAACACACATAAAACATTGTATATGTTGTTCATTTATAATTTTTGTTAATTTCCAAGTGACTTTTTAAAACTTTATTTCCTGATCTATGTCAAAATGTTTCAAATGCAAAACTTTTCAAATTTGCATTTTCATGGTCTAAAATCATTGAGCATCATCATTTTTCCACTTCAGTGCATTGAATATAAACACTATAACTACACTGTCATATAAAGGTTATCCTGGTAACTTTAATAAAGGCCTAATAAAAATCATACTTTTTAACTATGTTGTACAATAAATCAGATTTCAAGTTATGGCAATTGGTGGAGTAAGCTATAATAAACTAATACATAGAAATACCAAATTAAATACAACCACAATAAATATTAAATGACAAATTTGAAAAGCTGTTAAGAAAAGTGTCCCAAAATACAATTTTAAATTACATACTGAAATGGGATTCAGTATAACTGAAAAACTGACCCAGAACAAACAACAACAAAATGCACAAAGGCCAAAACCGACTTTCTAAGTTAAAAAACACAAAGTAACTCCTCAGTTTTCATAAACTTGAGTAATAATGCTGTTATTCCTTTCACAAGGATTTACCAGAAAGCAAACTTCATAAAACACATCTGGGGGCAAGGGGGAGGGAGACAAAAACTGTAGTTATAAGCAGAGACACTATCTACATACAAAACTAATAAGAAAAAGGAATAAAGGGGAACATTGGCATATAATAATATATTCTGTATGTCTCAGCTATCAATTTATTGCTTTTCTGTTCCAAATATACCACTTTCACCTGCTCTGCGATAAAGAACTGGGGAATTAGTTTCAAGGCTCAGTTCCAGGTCTGAGCAGTAATATAGAAGATGAGCCTAAAATATCCTGTTATACCAGACACCATGAATGCAACAAAAGAACAGTAAGATTACTATAATTATATTAAAAAGACTCAAGAATAAACCACTGGACAAAGATAATAACCAAAATGGATTAAAATATAGTAGATCTATTTAAATGTATATGTGTATAATAACACCAAGCCAAACTGGTCACTGTTTAAGAAGCTCATAAGTAAAGGTAAAGGATCAAGCCTTTCCTATAGTTAGTATCACTGAGTAACCCACCATTAATTGGGTGGAGTATTTCTATTATGTAATCCAATAAAGATTCAGGATGGGATTTAACTAGCAACATTTCGCAACCCCTACCTATATTAAAAGCACAGATTACATAAAAGTACTAGAAGAGTTATGAATGGAATGGAGCATAGATTGCTTATGAGATTACCAGCAAATTTTGCTCTCAACATAGATATATAAATGAATTACAATACTTCATTACTGCATAATATTTACCATAACCAAATAGAGTATTTCCAAAGTAGAGGGAAAAATACATGATCGATTAAAATAGAAGGAAAAAAAATAGAGAAGGAAAGAAAAATTTTCATGTTCAACCATGGAGAAAAATGACATGCTCTAATTTCAGAATGAATGCCTCTTGGAGCAAGAGGGGAAATGGGATTTGAGGATTAACACAGTATCTGATATATAAAAAGATATGATGCTAAATAGGGCAAAATAACACATGCACATAGCTGTTATACTTTTTTTTCCCTAGGTAGTTTATACACAATTTATAAAACACTTAAAATACAATTTACTTACATTTTTAATCATCTTCGTCTGTTCATTAATAGCTTCAAGGGGAACATTGGTGGCCCCGATTTGCTGTGTGATACCACCTGCTTCACCATCTTGTACATGTGTATGACGCAGCTAGGATAAGACAGCATTTAGGTATGTGTTTTGAAATATGAAGCAAAAAGAAAGCTGCAATCTATCTGCTGTAATGAGAACTGCCTAAGGCCCTATGCTTTCTTTTCAGACTGTATTATTCATTCATTATAGTTATTTTAAAATTCTTAGTTTTTACTGTAAAAGATTGAATCAATGCATAGAAAACTTCTTACTTTATCTAGAATTTTTGTCTTCCCTGTGTCCACATGTCCAAGTACACAAATAACAGGGGCTCTTAGCTTTTCTGTATTTACATTTTTACTATGCTCAAGTCGCCGTTTCTAGAAATGAAAACAATCACAAGTATTATTTCAAATCATACTACATTATTTTCCTTTATTTTGCCTTAGCAAGAGAATGTCACAATCTACATTCAAGTTCTTTGCTGATTTTTAATTACACATAACAACATTTTGCAAATAAAGTTTATGTTCTAATTTGCATCACAGTACCATTGGAGAAAGAAAAACCTCTCAATACTGATGTCAGAACTGCACATAACATAAATAATGGTATGAAGTGTGAGTTTAAATTTTCCTAACACTTTTACACATAGTACTTTTATCTAACTTACACAGTGGTTAATGTAAAAAGATACAGTTGCATTCATAAATCACTAATGGACTATGATGAATAACTGGGGCTCTAGTGATCTGCACATGAATACACACTTGTACAGGTGTCAACCTATATCCATAAAACATACATAGTATTGTGAATCAATGTAGTATTGTACATACATAGTATTGTAAATCAATGTAGTATTGTACATTTACAATTAGTATTAAAAAAAAATAAGTTTATTGATTTACAAGTGAAGAACTATAGAGCCCTCCCTGATGGCACAAGGGGTTGAAGCATAGCACTATGAAGCTATACATAGCCACTGCAGCAGGAGTTTGATCCCCAACATTGGAGCTGACCCACAAGGCACAGCAGACCTCTGCTGTCTCTTCTGCTCCCCTCAACAGTATATATCAGTCAGTCTGCCCGTTCTGTGTCCCACTCTGTCTCTGGTGAATCCTCTCCCCTCCTGCACCTCTGGCCTGTACCCCAGTTCCTGGATGCATAAATTTATTTATAAATAATTTTTAAATTTACTTATAAATCTAAAGCCATCAATTTCAAAACTTTAGTATTAAAATTTTTTTATAAAACTTACAATAACAAGCGTTTACTGACGCCTCTATCATGAAAAATGAATTTGCAAAAATTCCTAAGATACTACAACTTCCATATCAGCCACTAAACATCTGAAAGCTTATCCTTGAATCACAATGTATTTCTTTGTAGCATCTAGCTAAATACCTTAGTTTCCTGAAGACCAAACAAAAACACATGACAGTGATCATTTAAGATGACAAGGTTTTCTACTATAACAAAACTGGCATTCAAATGAGAGACTTTGATCAAAACTCCAAAGTAATATCATTTACAAACCTATTTTCCATCTACAAATAATTTGTGGGTGAAGGCCAGGGATGCTATTCAATATCCTAATATAGAGCAGTCTCCTTCCAAAAAGTAGCTGACTCCAAAAAGACAACATATATAAGGGTTGACAGAAACCTCAATTTATAACAGACCATCTTAGCTCTTCAGAAATTCAGGAAATGTAGTCCTATCTAGACTTTTACAGAAAAACAAGGATATACAGGCATTTAAACCAAAATTTGTAAAAATCGTAATAAACATTGAATGAGTCACACATGTGGAAAATCTACAAAAAACAAACAAAACTAAACTGAAGCAAACTTAGAAATCTGTAGAACTGAGGCTATCAGAGGGTGGAAGCTGGGGTGGGTATCAAAAGGAGGAGGGGCCCTATGATCTGGAGCAGAGGGTTGTACTCTGGTGATGGGCGTAGTAATAACACACGCCTGAAGAATATGCATCTATACCCCCAGAACATCTACAATGAAGAAAATCATTTATTCAATGAAAGCAAATTAAATTTCAATAAAGACAAAAGTTACACATGGAAAAAAACTACTGTTTTGACTTTGAAACAAACTAATTTTTTTAAAAACTAATTTTTAAATATTTAAACTAAACTTACATAATAAAAATTTCTAAACATCTGCTATATTCAGTAGGAAAAGTTAACTTACATTAGTCTGTACCAAACAAAAGCCTCATTAACAGCAGGTTTAAACAACTAAAGTAATCCAATGCCTCAGATTACCTCAAACACTTTAATATTTATAATCATTTTAATATTTATAATATTTTATATTTATAACATTTAATATTTATAACATTTATAACATTTTAATATTTATAATAATAAAGAGTACAAATGCTCAGAATACCTCTACATACTTATAAGCCATCAAAGATCATATAAAAATTTGGGTAAATTAGGGGAAAAAAAAGAATAAAGTTCTTAGACTAGACTAGTGTCAAAGACTTATTATGTTTCAAGATTAGTGAAGTACTACTCAAAAGCCTATTGTTAGAGAGTAAAGTTGAAATGATCAGAGGAGTGGAAAAGAATAAAGAGAATGTGAAAAATAAATACCTCAATTCTCCGTTTTGCTTTGTCATAAGCCCTTTCTTCTTTAGTTCGATCGTCATCAGAGTCATATTCAGATTCTGAACTCACTTCTTTACTTAGTTTTTTATCTAAAGTTTTTCCAGAATCTTTTTCATCTGATACCTTATCTTCATCTTCATCACCTTCACTGCCTTCACTTTCTTCTACTTCTTCTTCCTCTTCGCTCTCTTCTTCTTCATCATCATCATCTTCCTCCTCCTCATCGTCTTCAGGGTTTTCTTTTACTTCAATATGTACTGTGTTTCCTTCTTTCGGGAAAACAAAGATTTTAAAACAGATGAAAGATTAAAATGAGAAGTTTCTCTAAAGACCATAAGGAAGCAATACTGAGCAAGGGCAATGACACTGTATCCAAATTAATGCTTCCATACATCATTAAATGCAGTGTTTGTGTACATGCTACAATGGAGGTTATGATTTAATAAAAAATTAATGCATTAACCCATATTTAAGCTAATAAAATCATTACTAAGCCAGAACAAGGGAGGAGAAACCTGGGGGGGGGGGGGTTTACAATGCTTAGTACTTTTTCCCTGGGATTTGTTCATTCTAGACTAGGAGGCAGCTGAAAAGCAAAACAGTTTTTAATAGCCTCTAAGTGCTTAGGGATCCAGGCATTGGGAGTTCAGGCCTGCCAAAGATTCTGGTGGACCTGTGGGGAGGGTAAGGTAGATACACATTGGGTAAACCCTTACTGTGGAATGAAATCATAAAGAACTGCATCCCAGCCAGTAAGGATGAACAAGAAGTAAACAGACTTCCCCTATCAGATCACCTCTACATTCATTAATTCTAAATTTAAAATAAGATGATTCCATATTGCTGGTTCACTCAGGCTCCTGGTACATATAAATTCTCACCAAAGGAAACATTCTTGACCTCAGTTTATTGCCACAGTTTTACAAGTATAATATCTAGCAAAAGATATAAAAACAACAAGCCACAAGAGAAAATAATTCACATGAGGAAAGCGCATACAGAACACCCACAGTACTACCATATATTGAAGTGGTAAAACCAAAATTATAAAATGACTATACCTCTAACATCCAGGAAGCAAAAGACAAGATTAAAAATTTTAGAAGATAAATAAAAAATATTTTTAAAAGTTTAGCTGGAATTTCTCAAACTGGAAAATATGAGACAAAATTTAGAATTCAAGAGATAGGGCAGAGTAGAAACAGCTGAGGAGAAAATGAATGATTAAGGCAGACCAAAGAAATAATCTAGAATGAACAACTGAGATTCACGAAGGTAGAAAATATAGAATAGGGAAAACAAAACAATGATAAGGCCTATCTAGGTCTAGCTGGAATCCATGAAGAAAAATAATAGCTTATAACACTGCAAAACTGATAAAAACATGGTCTTACTTTCATAAAAGCCCACAAGCAGAATAAGAAAGCAACACTGATCACATCACAGAGATAAGAAATTTTTTTGTCTAATAACTTATTTCTCAACAGAAACAGTAAGTTCCAAGACAAAGGAATCATAATAAAATCTCATCAAAGAATCCCTCATTCAGAAAACATACCCTTTCAAGAATAAAAACGACATAAAGATATTTTTAGGAAAGTAACAGTGGAAGGCATAATTCAAAATTCTAAAAGGTGTTCTTCAGAAGAAAGATCCCAAATGAGGGTTAGAAACATAAGAAATGAAGTACAATAAAATGTTAAGAATATGTGGAAACTCAAATATTAACATAAAAAAATAGTTGTATAGTATGGGTTTAAGATAGTATGGGTTTAAAATGAGAATCAAATGGAAGCAATGGTATATAAATTGACAACTGGCTAAATATTACTCATATATTCTATAGCCTTTAAATCATGTGGAATGAAGGTAACTTATTTAAGACACTGGTAGTTCAAAGATGCATACTGAAAGTCTCTAGGAATCTAGAAACCACTAAAAACAAGTGGAAAAGTACACAACTTCCAAGTTTATAAAAGGAGAATAAAAAAAGGAAATCCAAAAGATGGTTGAGAGAAAAAGAAACAGTCATACAAATAAGATACATAAAATTAATAACTTCATTAATTAGATTAGATGTTAAATGTACAAAGATTGATGACTGGGTATGATATAGAAATGGTAATAAAGATAAAAAAGATCATATAAATCAAATCTGGTGTAGTTATATTACCATCAGATTAAGTAGACTTTAAGGCAAAAGGCATTGCTAGAAATAATGTATTAATACAATAGTAATTAGATCAATTCATTAGAAAGATACAAGATTGTATTCACCTAATATGGCATCAAAATATATAAAGAAAATTTGATAGAACTCAGGGAGACAACCTACAATCATGGTGGGCGATTTAACAGAAAGGTAAATCAGAAAACTTACAGCTCTAAAAATGTATTTAGGAGTTAAAGACTGAAAAACTAAAAAGCTGAATATCCATCTCAAGAACTTAGAAAAATCAGCAAATTGAACCAGATTTTTTTGCAAATTTTGTAGGAAGAGACAAAAAGTAATGACAAAAAAAAAAACACAAAACTTTCCATTCACAGTTGTTAGGAATTATATTATCTTTGTATAACAACCTAAGGTTTATTAAGAATTAAACTATAGGTTTTAGTAACCTAAACCCATTTTTAAACTTATCACTATAAAAAAAATGCATTCTAAATCCTAGGGAAGTAACTTACATAATCTGAGAAAATAATTATCCATAAATTGAAGGTCCAATGAAGATTTTGGACCAACAGCAAAGATCAAGATAGCTCCTATCCTTAGAAATGTTCACACGGCTTTCATACTTAGGAAAATACTCCTTTAAACATATACATCTTTAATCAGCAACAAATTAACAACATATGCTTAAGAGCTAGTCACCTTTTTCTCTCTCTTCATCACTAGCCATAGCTTCCCAATCATCCAATCCAGCATCCTCAGTTTCTTCTTCCTCTTCTGGAAATAAGTTTTAATCAAAGACACAAAAGTTATCTAGCAATATGAGACTGCCAACAGAAGAAAATGGGACAGTACAGAAATGTTTATGCAAAAAAAAAAAAAACAAAAACATAATTATCTTTGAAATTACCTAAATACAGCTAAAAAGTTGCAATTTTACCATTACTAAATACTTCAATTTCCTTCTGAATATACCACATTAAACAACCAGATTTTGTATTTGAAGTAACTAAGATATTAGAAATTCGAACACTGAAATGTTCCTTCAGTTCTTGAAAAAGGTACATGATCACACTCAGTTCTTGAGGACAAATGAAATTTCACATATCTTTTTTTCCTAATCTTTCAGCTTATACTTTAAAATTTATTTTACTTTACCTTCCACAATACATGCAGATACTATATGTAAATTACATGATCGAAATATAAAATTACACACTTCCCCATTTGAAAATAAAAACAGATTATCATGTGTATTACCCCAGAGCACTCAGAAAGGTACAGTTTTGAACATTAGTGATTTAACAAATGATGACTTTTTTTTAAAACTGAAATCTAAGTAAAACTATTCTAAAATGAAAGATGAAGGTAAGACATGTGGTATTTGCTTCCTTATAAAAACTGTCAACAAGTTTGAAAAAGCCATCTTGAGGAAGAGATAATGAGAACATTACTAAAATATTCTTCTACATTAGCAATTCTTTCAAGTGCTACAAATAACACTAAAATAGTGAACTACTATCAAGCATATCAACCTAATAATTTTCATCATTCTATGTTGAAGTGGGCTCAGATAAATGATCCACTTTATAGTGTAAACAGGAAGGGGGAAAAGAAGGGACGCTATTCTTCAAAAAGTTTCCAAGGATTCTTAAAAGTGTTTGTGTATTATCTAAAACTTCAGTCTATCATCTCTTGATTTGACCAAACATACATTTAACTCTATACTGGCTCTGCTACTAATATCTAGTCATAAGAATTAATAACATTTCTTATGTCTTTTAAAAATCCATACACACCCAAGTTTACTTTTATTTATAAATGTGTTTTATTTGCATACCATTGATTTACAACACTGTATGATTTAAGGAGTCTAGCCCTTATTCAATCAAATGTATGTGTAACCACTGTCTTTTCTCTTAAGAACTTTTTTTCTTAGAGGATACTTTCTACAAATTAAAAATGATTAAGTTGAGTCTATTTCTGATGGAAAAATTTGCTTCTACAGGATTAAGTGACTTCAGAACTTCTTGCCATGACCTAAGATTTCTGATCCATAAAATGATCAAAAAAATGTTAAAACCTCTATCATCTGTATAAAACATTTTGCTGACACTACTGAAAAAAGCAAAATTAAAGTCTTGATGCTACACTTCTTTGAAGTGAAATGAAAACTATCATCTAGAGAAAAGAAAGCTATACAGATATCTGATAATGATAAGACACTTCAATTCTATTATTAGTAAGTTATTAATTAGCTAATGTTACTGGCCTGGTTCAACAGGAGGTGGTAGGTCCTCTTTTTCTGGTATTCCTTGTTCCACAACTTCTATAGCAGAACTTAATTCTATTGGTTCAGACACTAAAAAAGGACATAAGTCAAGTTAATACTTTTTCATTGTGTACCTCCTTTTAAGATATTCCTAAGTGTTGCATAAAAACCAGTCTTACAAACCTGACTTCTTCAGCAACTTTAGAAAACATTTAAACATCAGTCATGTGTTTTATCTGAAACTAGTTTTTCTTTATAGTCAAGGGGGGAAAATGGAAAATTATAGTAGGCTGAAAGTAAAGAAAGAAATAAATACTTCAATTTTTTAAAAGATACTTATTCACAGGGTAGAATCCAGGTGTTTTAAACAAAAAGTACTCTACCACTAGCCTATTGTTAGAATGAGTTGACAATGCTAAATAACAGTAAGAAACAAATTATAGAAAATATTTCAATACATATTTCTGACTTGATTTCATTTTATAAGAATACGTTTTGAAATTAAGGCAAAGGCAAACAAAATTGTTTCTAAATAATAGGTATTCTATATACAAACCTTCCTTATTTTCTAGCTGCTGTGGTGATTTTTTCTTCTTTTTATCTTCATAAATTGGCCTTTTCTTTGGTAAAGAGTCTTTTGATGGCACCTCAACACCTGAGAGATAAAAAATGGACAACTTCAGTTATTGATACTCACATGTCACTTAAGAAATACATCTTTAAAATTTTTACACTTACCTTTTAATCACCTTACAGATTAAAATATAGACCATTTATGGAACTATCTTTTTGACATAAGGCATTTTAAAATTTACATATCATAAAATATTTTTACAAGCACAGTTATGCAACCACCACGTAAAAAAGGTACAGAGCAGTTACATTACCAGTACACTTCTGTATAGTCAAACCCCACTCATATCCTTAGTACTTCCTGACAACCACTAAGCCATCTCAAAATATTTTGTCAAAAATGTCATAGAAATGAAACTTTATATATAGAGAGTCTGGTTTCTGTTGTAATAGATTTGAGGCTCATTCTTATTGCTGTATGTACCAACTTATCAATCTGTGTCATTACATTGTACTGATGTAACACAGTTCTTTTATTCATTCAACAGTTGGACATGAGGTGTTATAACTTAACAATTTTAAAGAAAGACTCTGTACACATTTATTTGCAGGTTTTCATATGAACATTTCTGTGTAATAAATATTTTGGAGTGGGAATAACATAACATTAAGTAAATCTATTAATGTACAGCAAAATAAGTTCTCCAAAGTGACATTACAATTATGCTTCCCTATAGGGAAGCATATGCTTCACATATGGAGAACCTTAATTATTCTGTTCAAATCTTTTGCCCATTTTTAAATATAGTAGTTGGTTTTCTTATAATTGAATTTTGGGTTACCTTTATTATTCTGGCTATTAATCTTTTTACAAATTAACTGATGTACAGATAATTTGTATATATTCTCTCAGTGGTATCTTTTGCAGAGCAAATGTTAATTTCCTTAGTTTTGTTACTTTTTTCTTTATAGGTTAAACTTTAAAAATCACAAATCTTCCTTCTCTAACACAATGTCACAAAGACTTTCTTTTATGTTTTCCTTTATATTGATCTATGCTCCATTTTGAGTTTTTATATAATAAATGAGAGTTTGGAACTAGGTAAGGACTTTTTGGCATACAGATTTCTAATTGTTGCAATACTTCTTGTTGCCAAAACTACTATAGAGAGGGGGAAAATATGAAGACCAATACCTTTTTTTTTTTTTTTTTTAAAAAGATTTATTTGTGCATACAGAATGGGGTACAGGCCAGAGGCTCAGGGGCGGTGAGAGGCTTCACCAGAGACAGAGTTGGGAACAACAGAACAGGCAGATCGAGGAAGTACACTGCTGAGGGGAGCAGCGGGTGGGTCAGGAGAGGTCTGCCACACCATGTGGTCACCTCCGGGGCAGGTGGGAATCGAACTCATGCGGAAGCAGCTCCAGATTCTCAGTGCTGTGCTTTAACCCACGGTGCCACCAGGGAGGGCCAGACCAATACCTTTTTTAGTAACAGGTAACTCTAGTTTACAATATTGTATAGATTTCAGGTGCACAATTTCTCACCTCAAAAACCATATGTAATACACCACATCCACTACCAAATGTCCACACACACTCTGTTGTTCTGCTGATCTATTTGTTTATCCTTTTGCCAGTATCAGTGTCCTGATTACCATGGCTTTATTGAAAGTGTTGAAAGCTGATAGTTGTGAAATATTTCAAATTTGTTCTTTTTCAAAGATATTTTGGCCACTCTAACTCCTTTATCTTTCCACATATATTTTAGAAATAAATTATAGATATCCACAAAATAGTCTGCTACAATTTTGACTAGCACTGCATTGAGCCTACCGATCAGTTTGAGAGAAATGATAGCTAGCAGTAACAAGTTATCCAATCCCTAAGTAGCCAACATCACACACAGAGATAATTGTTTTATTTTCAGTGGTGCTGCTACTACATCTTCTGATCACAAATTTCATTAGCTATCTTTTGTTCAAACTATCAAATTTATGAACTAAATTAACAAGACAATTCAATTCAACAGCGTGAAGTAACCTGTTATATATTGCAGACTAGTATATTCATTGATTCCTTTAATAAGAAATTTTGGATTTTAAAAGATACAGTAAACAACCCTCCCTAGTGGTGCAGCTGGTTAAAGCACAGCACTGCGTAAATGACCTCAGCCGCTTAGGTGGGAGTTCGATCCCCACCCAGGAGGTGATCCTGAAGGCGCAGCAGACCCCTCCTGGCTCACCTGCTGCTCCCCTAAGCAATGTACTTTGTCAATCTATCTGTTCTGCTCCCCACACTGACTATGGTGAATCCTCTCACCACCCTTGCACCTCTGGCCAGTGCCTCAGTTCTGTATGCATAAAATACATAAATCTTTCTTTAAAAAGGTAAGTAAAACATGACACAAAACATTTAATTTTTAATGAAAATAAATTTATAATATGTAAATAATGTCTGCACTGCCATCAAAGATGCCCATATCTTAGTCCCCAAAACCTGTGAAAAGGTTATGTAACATGGTAAAACAGATGTTGCCGATGTTAAGATTAAAGACCTTAAAATAGAAGAGAGTAACCAGATAAGCTCAATCTATCACAATACACTGAAAATTAAGAATCTGTCAGTGAAATATAGACTGCAGTCAGAGGGAGATGTGACTGTGGAAGAATGGACAGTGATGCCACACTGGTGGCTAGCCATAGAATGCATAATAAGGAAGAGTCACACAGATCAGTTTATATCTTAGCTTTGAGACTTCAAAGGCAAGCTGTTTAAACTTTCTGAATTCATTTAACCACCTATATGATGAGAAAGAAAATATGTGCAAGTTTTTTTATAAGGAAACTGTCAAGAGTTTATAACTCAATTACATACTAAATAACATTAAATGGTAGCTATTACTGTAATTACAGAGTAAGCACCAAAATTACTGTAATACAAAATTCTGAATGTAAGTATAGAAAATTAAAGGAGAGCCTAATATATTCTTTTTAAAAGAGCAAAAACAAGACTTTAAATCATCTTAATATTCAAAAATATAATTAATAGTATGTCCCTTGTGAGCTCTAAACTAAAAGGAATCAAGGTTCCTCAGTTAAATAGATGATTCCAGATCTAGGGCAAAAAGTTGGAAGATGAACTTGGAATTATCTTGTTTTTAAAAAAAGCAAGCAAAAAGTCAGTAAACACTGTGCTTATGTGAAAAAAGTCACAAGGAACAAGCTGAATGGGCATCTGCTGGCCTAGATGACTTCATGAAATAACACTTCAATTACATTCATTAATATAAAATATGCATCCCAAAAAAATCCTCATTGGCCACCTTAGCAGATTGCTAGAACACAAATTTGTTATTCTGAAAATAAAGAAAAAGAATCAAGCATTTTTATACTGGCTTTCCTATCCTATATAAACTAAATTTTAGTTAAAGTTTTTCTTTAGGAAAAACCTAATAAATGCACAAAGAAAAACAGAATATTACAATTCTGCAATAGGGAGAACTTAAGCTGTTATTATCAATTGGCCATTAAAATGATTAGATGAAAAATAGAGAACTTTTAAAATGAGTAACTCTGCCAATACCGAAATCCACTAATCAATTTTAACATTATAATAAGTAACACAACCAGATCATGTACTTCCTAATATGAGGCAATGGAAGTGCACAGCACCAACACCAAGTCATTAAGCTGTAACTCTAAGAAGTTATTATTAACAAAGGATAAAAAGAGAATCCAGCATTTTCAGCAAGTAAATGGCATGCCAAAACTAACAGTGATAGTGGTTATTAGTGAGAGACAGATAGAGCAAACTAAATACAGAGTATGAATATAATCCTGATTTGATTATTACAAAAGACACTTTGGAGACAAAGTAGAAAAAATGGACACAAATCAGATTATACCCAATGAATTAACTTTGCTAGATATAGTAATGTATACTCTACCTGTATTACCAAGTAAAACATCCCTATTTATGAGAGAAACAGACTATATATAGTAAAATAATGTGTCTAGACTTCACCTTAAAATATTTCAGGGGAAAAGCAGGCAGAAGGAGATAAAACAAGATTGCAAATGCTGACAATTAAAACTTGAGTAACTGATACACGGGAACTCATTTTTACTGTAGTCTCCATTTTTGCCTATTTTGGGAGAAAACTTAAGGATAATTTATAGTTTTTTTAAATCATAGTACAGAAGTCAGTTCCCTAAAAATTACATTACCTCACCTACTTAAATATTTCTTTTAATGTTATCACTTTGATTTATTACAGCATTTTCATAGGAATTCTTCATTCAATTCCACTCTACTTTAATCATTATATTGATTTGATTGTCTGAGAAAAACTTCTTGATAGATCAATAAATTAAAAATAATACTTACCCTGAGCTTGTAGAAGTTTAAGGGTAGCTTCAGCTCGGGCTCTGGCTTCTCTCTGGGATTTAGTTAAAAGTTTACCTTCTTTTTTCAAGCGTTCTTTTCTTTCTTTTTCTTTTTGCTTTTTCCTTTCTCTTTTTTCTTGTTCCAATCTTTCCTACATAGTACATGTCAAAAAAAAAATATATTAGCCTAATGAATTATAAAACTTTAATGTAAAACAGGGCCCTCCCTGGTGGCACAGCAGGTTAGAGTGCAGCACTGCAAGCCAGCCACGGCTGCTTCAGCGCAAGTTCAATCCCCAGTCCCAGAGGTGACCCACATCGGGTGACAGACCTCTCCTGACCTGCCTGCTACTCCCCTCAGCAGTGTATTTCATCCATCTACCTGTTCTGCTCCCCATGCTGTCTCTGGTGAATCCTCTCACTCCCCATAGCTCTGGCCTGTACCCTGTTCTATATGAATAAATAAATCTTTTTTAAAAAAACTTAAATGTAAAATAATACAAATTTCAAGTTTCTTGAGAAATTTACAAAATATTGTTAGATTACTAATGAAAATATTTCAAATGTTGTACATAATTACTAATTAACTTCACACTAGACTGTCATGACATTAATTTCTGTAAGAAAAATAATTGAACTTAATTACCATACAACTATGAAATTTTTTTACTTAGAAAGTTAAGAGATATTTTATATCAAAAAGATTTTAAGTTAAACACAGTAAATGCAAATTCATAAAAACATACCTCTTCTTTACGTCTGGCTTCTAATTCTTCAAGTCGTTTTATACGTTCTTCTTCTTCTCTTTTCTGTCTCTCTTCTTCTTCTTTAAGCTTAGCCAAAGCTTCCTGCATAGCTTTAACTGTGGCTTTGCTAGGTCCTTTTTTCTTCTCTTTTTCTTTTTCTTTTTCTTCCTTTTCTCCTTTCTTTTTTTTCTTATCTTTTTTCTTTTTGTCTCCTTCATTGTCATCTACCAAAAATAAGAAGCAGGTGTTTTCAGGTCTATAATGGGACAAAAATGTTACTAGTAACAGACTGGGTTATTTAGGCATCAGGGTATCCTAAGAACTTGAGTATTCAGAGCACTGTACACTTGATTCCCTAAAAGAGCTCAGAACAATTATTTTGCCTCCTTGGAAGCCTAAATGATGTTTCTTTGAGTTGTCCCACGGGCTGCAAAGGTAGCAAGAGCAGCCTGTTAGCAGGGAAAACACAATACTGTATCTAATGTACCTCTAAATCTAGAATCTCTGAATTCCAGCTTAAATTCTGCAGCTAGTTTTGCTTCTGTTAAGAGGGGAATAAGAATGATGCCTAGCTCCAGGAAGGGTGTGGAGGGGGGAAGTGAACTACGATGGAGAACTATCGGCATTTTGGTGATGGGAAAGCCATAGTGACGATACCTGAGGGGAGAAAGCTTATACTGCCAAAAAAAATTAAGGAAGTAAAATCATGGTATCTCATTAAAAAACTTAAAATTTGAAAAAAAAAAAATATGGCTACCTTAACAGGATATTATAACAAAACACAAAAATGTAAATAACCATGCTCACAGATCTCTGCAACACTATACTAAACAACTCAAGTTATGTACATTCATGGTATTTTTACTGAAAGATGCCCAAAAATAATTCTACATTAATATAATTTTCTCTTTAAAATCCCATTATATAATGTTCCAAAGTTTTCTAAAGAAAAATTGTGTGAATCATTTAAATTTTAAAGTATTTTGATTTTGAATAAGGGGAATATTGAGTTAGCTTATTCTTTGATAACTGATTTTGATTCAGAGACACGGCTCATTATTGTTTAAAAGGTAATTTCAACATGTTTTTACTTCCTAGTTCATAGGTTAGATTGGGCTTAAAAAAAAAAAAAAAAAACTATAATGAGGCCCTGCCTGGTGGTGCAGCAGGTTAAAGCACAGCACTAAGAAGCTAAAGCCACTACAGCATGAGTTGGATCCCTGGTCCCGGAGGTGATTCACATGGCATGGCAGACCTCTCCTGAGCCACCCACTGCTTCCCTCAGCAGTGTACTTCGTCAGTTGGACTGTTCTGTTCCCTACTCTATCTCTGGTGATTCCTCTCACGTCCCTGCACCTCTGGCCTGTACCCCAGTTCTAAATAACTAAATCTTTAGAAAAAAAATAAAGAACTCAGTTATTTCCTGGCAAGAGTTATAAGGAAATTTTTTAATCAGGTAATTTCTAGCCTATCATCAGTAAAGAGTTGCTTTCAGCAGCAAAATTCTACAAAAATCCTTTTTTCCATAAACCCATTTGAAATATATTTTATACTACATATACATGTTTTATATATAACAGCTTAAACATGAATATCAACGATTACTTAGATCTAATTTTTAAAAGGCCTTTTACAATTAAGTACCTTTACAGTCAATAACAAATGACTTTGTATGTAATGATCAAAACAGATTTAATGTGAATCAAAATGTCTCCTCAATATTACCAACCTTCAGCAGCTGTGGGAGTCTCTCCTTTCTCTTCCGAGGTAGAGGTTGCTCCAATATCAAGAGTCACTTTTGATTTTATAGCTTCCTCTTCAGATTTCTTTTGAGATTCTTTTTGTTTACTTTGATCTTTTTTCCCAGTTTCTAACTCTTCTTTCTCTTTCAGCTTCCTCAGTTTGGCCTTTTCTTCATCTCGCTTCTTTCTTTCGCGCTCTTTCTTTTCTGCTTTCTTTTGGGCCACTGTCTTAATTTTGAAGGAGGAGTCATCATCTTCATTTCCACTCTCTACATTAGGACATGACTTATTTTTTTGATTTTTTTTCTGTCCTTTCCTAGACTGCAAGAATTCATCTGATTCATCACCACTTTCTCCTGAAGAATTTACTTTGGAACGCTCTTTAGTTCTTTTACTGTGATCTTCATCTTCATCTGACCCTTCCCACCTTTTATTTGATTTCTGAGCTTTCCCTTTGGGCTTTTTATTAAGTTTACTAAAGTCATCATTATCATCATCACTCCCAGAATATATTTCCACTTTTGGTTTCACAGTCTTTTTTGATTTAGAATCTTTATCCTCTAATTCTTCACTATCATTATCATCAAAGCTTTGCTTTTTTCCTTTCTGACCTTTCTTCTTTTTATCGTGTTTAGAAGTGGATTCTTCTTCATTATTTTCTGTTGGCTAAAAAATGTACAGTTTTACTGCATGGTACTGGAATAAGAATAGACATACAGACCAGTGGATTCGAGTAGAAAACCCAGATATAAACCCACGAGTTTATGGACACCTAATTTTTGACAAAGGAGCAAAGAAGATACAATGGAA